GACGTTAAGAATTATAGACCTATTGCTAAATTGTCAACGGTTGCCAAGTTATTTGAAGCCATTATGAAGGACAAAATGGTATTTTCAGTTCGAAATATCATATCTCCGAATCAGCATGGTTTTATTAAAGGGAGATCCACCGTTTCCAATCTAGCGATTTTTACGGAGGACTGTCTGGAAAGCTTTTCGGCTGGGTTTCAAATTGATACGGTATACACGGATTTTTCAAAAGCGTTTGACAGAGTTTCTCATACAATTCTGCTGTACAAGCTAGCCTGTTTAGGGTTTCACTCTAAATTTCTATCTTGGATTAAATCATATTTAAGTGATAGGTACTGTTCGGTGGTACTTGACGACACGTCCTCCCGATCTTTTCATGCCAGTTCAGGTGTTCCGCAGGGAAGTATCCTTGGACCGTTGTTATTTATTATTTTTATAAATGATATTAGTTTATGCTTCCTACATGTACGCGGATGACCTGAAGGTTTATTCTGTCGTAGCAAGAAGGGAGGATTCTTTCGCACTACAGTCCGATCTCGACAGGGTTCACGCCTGGTGCGTGAAGAATCGACTTTTTCTTAATATTGATAAATGTTCTCATTGCATTTTTTCCAGAAAGCTTGTTACTGTAAATACTACTTATTCTATTGCGGGTTCTCAACTGAAGACGGTGAACACGGTTAAAGATTTAGGAGTATATTTTGACTCAAAACTCACGTTTGCAAGCCACATAAATTTTATAGTGGCAAATTCTTACCCTATGTTAGCATTCGTTCGTCGAAACAGCTCAGATTTCTTGGATCCGTATACACATAAGAAATTGTTTATTGCCTTTGTTAGGTCCCGTTTAGAATATGCTGCCTTTATCTGGCGGCCTGCCCAGGTATCATATATAAATAGAATCGAGCGTATTCAAAAGATTTTTATTAAATTTGCACTGCGATCTTTAAATTACACACAACCTTTGCCTTCTTATACCTCGAGATGTCTACTCTTAAGATTAGAATCACTTGATAATAGAAGAAAATATCTCTCTTGTTCCTTCATAATAAAAGTCATAACTGGAGATATGGACTGTCCTGATATTCTAAGTAGGATACCACTCAATATCCCTACTAGGAACTTGCGTCACTTCGACATATTCTATTTGTATAGAGTTAAATCTAATTATGCCATAAATGCTCCTATCAGTCGAGCTCTTAGTGAGCTTAATCAAATCAATCGAGTTATTGATATTGACCTCGCACTTTCTGGAGGGATATTAAATAATATCCTCTTAAGCTACCTTAATAATAATTAGTAGTTAGATAGTTTCTTAGTAGTCAGTATGAAAATATGTATTCACTGATGATAAATAAATAAATAAATAAATAAAATCTATACTTAAATGATCAGAATGTCAAGCTGAGCCGATTTAGCCATGTCCGTCTGTTTGAACGCAGTCTGGTTTTTAGAGATATCCGACTGGAATTTTGTAAGCCGTTGTATTTTTATAATGAATTAACCATTTGTTTTAACCGGAATGTCTTATAGACATATCTAATCGTATATCATCATAAAATAGTAAGGTATATTAATGCAAAGTTAAAAAAACCTACAATTTTTATGTTTGGTTTGTGCCAAGTTCCTATAATTAAAAGCGAAATTAAATTTCCTTACCCTTACAAAAACCTACATTTGTTCTGAAGTGTGGCATATTCAACATTCATAAGTGACTGTTGATAAATTACGAAGTATCGCAATCTTGCAGCTAAAGAAATCGCAATCGTACTTCTTATTACAGTAATTACTATAACTGAAATCATTAAATATACGATTACGATTCGTTTAATTGTAATCCCTAAATTTTTTCAATTACAATTATTTTAACCATAATCATGGTTTTCATGATTACGATTGCAGTAATTGTAATCGTAATATATTAAGGAATACAATTAAAATATTCGTAATCGTAATTTTAATGTTTACGACTATTGTAATTGTAATCCTTAAATTTTTCGGATTACGATTACTGTAATCGGAATCATAAAGAGTATGTTTACAATTACAATAATCGTAATGCTGAAAATTTTCGGGATTACAATTACAGCAATCGTAATCCTGTGTAATCAAAATGTAATCGTAATCATAAAGTGCCCAGTTCTGCTATAACATATAGCTCGGATGTGAGATTTGTGTTATAACTAGTGTTGGGTAGTATCGCTACTAAAAGTACTCGGAACTCGATTCTCAAAAGGATCGACAGCACCCGATTTTTATAAGTATCGATACTGAATACTCCAAAGTACTCAGTACTCACTAAAAAACTCGAAAGTACTCAGAACCTAAAAGAACTCAAAAGTACTAAGGACTCACAAAAGAACTCGAAAGTACTCAGAACTCAAAAATTCTCTGTTCCAATCATCACTTTGATACATGTACTCAGGATACTTAAAAGTACTGAATATATACTTAAAAGTACTGAGTTTTATTTACATTTGCCGGTATTTAGAAATGATTGTACTCAATTTGAAGTTTCAATAGTTTTCAGGTAGCCACTCATTTGACGTAATTTGGGATTAATATATTAATTTGAAAATAGCTTGCGAGATTTCTACACTAATCAGTACTCTGAAAAATACCCGATCCCTAAAAGTATTGATACCAAAGAACTCGATCCTCAAAAGTACTCGATACTTCCCAACACTAGTTATAACTCATCCGATTCTGGAGCTAGGAAGATCAAATTTCGCTATTTTCCCTCTTGTAAACAGTAATACAGTAGTGACTAAGATCGGGTCACTAAAACTTATAGCGACCATACAACTTGTTGTTCAAATATGAGGTTTTACTTTAAAACTCCCTCAACGTCTAATACCGGAAAATTTCGTGAGATATTTTCTAAATAATCATACAAAGTGTACTGAGAGTCAAGATCGGGGATATATAAGCTATATCTCCCTTCACGCACATAGTACGCAGGTACGGGCTGGGAAGGCCGCAACTTGTATCAACTCACGTTGAGCGCACGTTTAGTACATTCAAGGCTTTTCTTCGCGAAAATCGAATAAAAATGCTGCCAAAAAAGACATCTTGTGGTTCAATTTTCCTATTTATCAAAAAAGTCAACCTAATTAAAAGCAAATACGTAGATTTTCTAAGTCAAATCGTATTTTTCACATATAAATTTTGAATATAACTGTTTAGAGGGATTGATGCCCTCGATCCCGCAAGCTTGGGGGATTGCGATTTTTATGCGGGATTGGATTCCCTAACTACAACTATAGCGATGAAAGTTTTGTGAGTTAAACACTCGAAAGGAGCAAATAGTCGAAGATTCAAAGTAAACATTTTTCATATTATGAAACTAGTTCATAGTTTTTCTCTTTTTACTTGTAATATAAACATTTCTAAAATAAATGTATTTTTTGATTATTTTTCGCTTTTTGTCTTTTTTAATGCCTTCTTTTGCCTTTTTTATTTTGTCTTTTCCAGCCTATTTCGTTGTTTCATTTTGCCATTTTTATAAGTTTTTAGTTTTAAAAATCCGTTGCTCATAAATAATGTTTATGAACAGCTGATTGGTATTTTTTCCTATACAACAAATACATTCCCACAAGAAATATAATGATTTACTTCAAACAAGTTGTAAAATAATTATTTTCTCTTAATATTTTCTATTTGGATTGTACTTGTAATTTAGGTTTATATGTATATGCTTAGCGTTCACAGATGTTTTCTAGAAAAATAATAATGAAAGCATTACTGAAACCATTGATCGATTTGCAGAATACCCTCGAAGACTATTGTTTAAATAAAAAATAATGAAAAAATTATGATTTTGGTGTAAGGACGATGTCGTATTTTAAAATATTATGCAACTAAGATAATTAAAAAAATTTTATTTTAACTTTTCAATAAGTTTATAATAAACTTCATGCAGTTTCAATTACTTTGTAGGGCTCGGTACAACTCAGTTGTTATGATAAAAACAGAAAAATTAATGAGGTAAATTATTATAACTTTTTTAATAACAGCATTTTCACATTTCTAATAAAACATACATTACAAATAATCTCCTCCTCATTAGTCCTCTTCATTATCTATTGAAATCTGAAATTATCTCTTTAAAGAGGAATCCAACTTCGAAAATAGGAGGAGCAATTATTCTACAGAGAAAAATATAAAGAGGTATATAATTTCAAGAACAAAGTGATTTCATTCAGCCCCACCACTGAATCCATCACAGTCCGTGTGAAATTTATGAAAATGCAGGCATGCACTTTGAATGCATACGTTCGTAGGAATTCGGATTCAGTCATCGCATTTCCATAGATTTCATGAAAATTGGACTACGGTGGATGCAGCGATAGCCCATATTATTTAGTGAAACCTGAAATGGTATGACTGCAGAGAATTTATACAGACGACGGCGCTAGCCATTGTGTCTTACATTTAAGTTGTCCCTGAAAGTTTTTTCAATGCTCCCCTTCCCGAAATCCTAGCCTACGCTAACGACATGAAGCATAGGCTAAACTAAATACTTTTTTCCTCTCAAGATTTGTTTGCCCCAACGATTTTTCGTAATTTCTTTCCCTGCTTGCTCATCCTTATTTGCGTTCGATGCAAGTGATATTCAATGAAGATAACACACGATTTAGTAAAAATGTGTGTGATAACTCCTTCATACAAAAAAAAAAACAAAAAGTGGGCCTATCACTTACGGACCCTGTTACACAAGGGGCGCGCAAAGCTCTAGAAACTATTATTTTTAATTCATAACTAAGGAAATCTTGGAGATGGTAAGGCCCTCTACATTCTAGAGAAGGTCTTCCGTAATTGCTTTTTACTTCTTTTTTCTACTGGGTTTTCTTATTCGATTTTGCTTGTGTTTCAATTATGTATACATTTTAACGAAATATTCGTGTGTATGAAAATGCCTGTATGTAAGTATGTCGCTACACATGTATGTACATACGTAAGTACATATTTGCGAACAATAAGTACATCTCATTACTCACTCAAACTCCTTTCGGATGGTTCACGGCTCGAGGCATTTGCGCCTCGCGCCATTATCGCAGCAATTGAGAAATCCGTGGCGCTGACACAGGAATTACTGTTGAGGATATTTGTTGTTGTCGCTGTGGCTGATGCTGCTTGTGCTGCTGCTGCTGCTCTTTCAGCTGCGGTGGCAGTTAATGCGAATGCTCCAGTTTGTTTGAACAACAATGTGGCTGCTGCAGCGGCTGCGGCCACAGCAGCGTCGGTGGTGGTGCCCGTTGCTGTCGCTGTTGTGGATGTCGGGAGCTGCTGTGTCAGCTTGTTGGGCGAATAATTCAGATTTTGCTTATCGTTATGATTAAAGTAGTAGTTGTTGTTGTTATTTTGGAAAATTCTGATATCCTGCTGGCTATGCTGCTGCTGGTGATTCTCCTGTTGTTGACATTTCGTTTGCGTCGTTGTTGTTGATGTTGATTGGTTTTGTTGATGTGGCTGTGACGGTGTGTTGCTCAGAAGCATTTTCTATTGCTGCTGACTATGGGAAAGCAATTTTCGCGTAAAAGGGCAAAGGAAATTGAAAACTTTTTACTGCAAATATATTTTAAGAGTAATTTAATTTAAAAAAAAATGATTTTTTTTAGTTTTTTACAAATCATTAATTTATTTTAATTTTTAATCCATTTTATATATTATTATGATTTATAGCGCCGCACCTATTCACTTTTAGTTTTTTCACAAATCTTTTATTACCGAACTTTAACATTAATTTTTCAATTAAACTTGTAACACTTTTGCGTAGGAATTTCAGCGAACGCGTGCAACACGCTCTGCGTACGAATTTACAGTGCGTAAAGTGGCGCCGACGAAAACTCGCAAATCCGTTAACACGACAACCGCTCCATTGTCACGCTGACCAATGAATGAAGATGCCAAACGGCGGCTGTTGGCGAAATGTCAGGTGGCGCCCGCCCATCCCCGTCCGTGAATTGCGTTAGTCAATGGCGAGCGCGGCGTGGCGCGGCGCATAGCTTAGCACAACACAACACAACAAAAGCACCGCCAACAGTTGTGCGGCGGATTTAGCAAACACAGCTGAGTCGCGTTGACGACGTACGGCAGCGTTGGGAATGGCAACGAAGTAGCTGAAAGCGTCGGCAATACAAATGGAAATGGAGCGAATGCGGCAACGTTACTAAAGTCGACTGTGCGAAACGCACTCGAGTGGCGAGCTAAACGACAGCAAGTGGCGGCGGCCGCAGCAGAAGAAGCAGCAGCGGCAGCAGCTGATCGATGGAGGCGACAATTGCCTGAGCGACGAGCAAACGGCCTTTCATAACGAGCAACAGCCAACAAACCACAGCAATAACAAAAGGCATTGGCAAAATGTGGAAGCAGCAGAAAACAAGCAGAAAAAAAGCTCTCAAGACGAGCGGTGCGAACGAGTCGAGAAGTCGAGAATCTAACCCGACGAGCAGAGAAATTTATCTTTTCAACACTTGAGTCAGCAGACGGCAAGCAACGGTCAGTTGGTCGGCCATCTGTTTAGCTGTCGAGCGTGCTGCCGGACGAGGAGGAGTGTGTACAACGGTCGTGGTGTGGGTAAGAAACTGAAGAACGAGCGCAGTGCAACAGCAACAATAGCAACATCAAGAAGGCAACACCAAACATCAACAATTGTTGTAGAGCTTGTTTTGCGGCAAACGCGCCACCCTCTTGGCCGTCGCCATTATTAGCAGCGCACTTAACTGCTTACGGCCTACACTTGCCGCGGCACGTTGACGAGAAAAGCCGGTATCACCATTACAATTTGCCTGGCCCAAAGAAAAAGGCAGCGGCGCTAAGTTATGCACTCGTCGTAGTTTCATGCTTCCGCTTAAGCAAAGACAACTATTGTTATTGAAGTGCTCTCAACAAAACAAAGCAGCAATGAAGAGACATCTGCGAATTGAGCGCAATGCAGTGCACAAACGCCAAACGCGCTTTCCATGCATGCCACACAAACAAATGCGTAGGTGCTTGAGGAAAAGCGCCCTACTGCCCATCCACCCGGGCGTGCTTAGAATATCTACGCAGTGTATGCGCCCAACAATGTTTGTGGCAGTGAGTTGAGCAGAGCACAACAGTCAGAGCGGTTGTGGCCAAGAGGTGAGCCGCTAATTCTTTTACAAATTTTTATGTATCTCTAACCAGCCCCTGGGCTAGTTAGAAGTGAGAAAGAGACAGCTCTCAGTATGCAAGCAGCACTTTCATGAAAACACACTTCCGTTTGCTGGAGAAATTCCCATACACAACGCGAAAGCCGTTTATTTTCCAATCGGAGTTGCCTAACACCCAACACAAATAACTGCACTCTTTGCTCTAACCTTCCGCTCCATTGTGACAATGCCGTTAACGTTGAAAAGAAATGTCTATAGCCCGCCACTTCTCCGTTTTAACACAGCGTCACCGTTCCTTTGCCTACTATGAATTCAAAAATGTCGACGACTCTTTATGAACGACGACGCCTCTACATAGCGGCACATTATTCACCATAGTTATCTCTTTCGCTCGCGCACGTTGCAGCCATCATAAATTCGTCATTTTGTTTTTTGCTGCTGGTTTCTTTTTCCGTTTGAAATTCGGCTGCTGTTGACAGCTGAGTGCATTTGTAAATAGTTTATTTACCGACGTATTTCGTGCGAGAGGAATGAGTTTAATTTTTTGCTTGTTTACTCAAGGGGGTGTGAGTGAGAAGAGAGTGACTTTTTGGTTGTTTTTATTTGCACTGTTTCGTTTGCGTTCCACCACGTTCCTGTTCTGTGTTTGCCGATTGAGATAAATTTAAATGAGTGAAATTGGCGTTGGAGGAGCTTTGAGTGTTTGGCACATGGTATATAGGGAAGTGCATACGTACGTATGTATTTATGTATATACTAACTATCTTATGCAGGTGCATATGTATGATGTATGGATATGTAGATATGTACTACATATTTGACAGAATGTGTCACAAATAGGTTCACTATAATTTCTTTTGCACAGTAGTTACGTACCTATTGAATTATGCGCGTTCTTACATATTCAAATAACTCTAAATACCAAACTTTTCATAGCCAAATTAATTCGGATGGAAAAATTATATATCCTCGTCCGTTTGCCAGAAACATGAATGTAAAAAAGGGAAATTTTTGTGAAATAAAGTTTAAATTTTTTGTACGATACTTAACTCTACATTTATGCAATTGAAATTGTAAAATATGTGGTTTCCGCGAACGCATGGTATTCTGGGTTTTGGTATAACATAGAACGTCCAAAGGTTAATCAAGTAAACCCAATAACTCAAAATTGATAAATTTGCACATTCATGCTTCTGGCATAAGGGTGACGATATGTATATTTTTTAAACATCCAAAAAATAAAAACTTAAATACTAATGGCCTTATAAAAAAATAAAGCAGCTTTATAAAAGTTATATAAATTGAAAAATGTATGAGAACGTCAATTTGTAAAGCTCTTTAAACCTACTCTATTTCTTTATGATTAAGGCCATAAACATTTAAAAATATTTTTTGAGGTTTTGCAATTATCTAAACGTTTTTAAATATGATTTAATGGACTTAGCTTCTAATTTTAACAAGTTTAACAATGAGTTCAAAGCCTCTCCCTTTGTAAGTCATGATATCGTCATTACTTGAAAAAAACTTGACTTTGATGCTTTGAACAAGAACTTATGCATGTGCAGATTAACTATTTCGGGCTGCTTATTATTTCGAGGCAAAAACAACCTTTTCGTGGAGCAGAAAATAACTCGTAAACTCATACTCTTATTTCAAAGGCAATCAATGCAATGTTTCGTGATTCGCTTTGATTTTCTGGACCTTCCAACCTGTCTTCGGATTTTATCTGGATTTTTTTAAAGATGTTTTCAGATTTTTTCGGTATTTTTTATGATTTCAGAAGTCTTTAAGCAGTAGATTTAAGTCATCACCTTTCTTTCATGAATTCCTTAACCCTTTCAGTACAAGCGGCCAACTTATTGGACAACCTTACTTTAAGCTCTTTTTCCTAAATTAGAGCCTTTGTTGTTAAAAGAACAGATGTCTTGAGGAAATTATGTCATTCGTCTTCACTGCGTTTCTTCAATTAAATTGACAATTTTTCGGTGGAATTCAGATTCGAAAAAAATTTAAGTATTATTCCCATTTTACAAATATGGGGTACCACCGTCCAATATAATGGACTCTGAATAATGGTAAAACTGAAAGCTTAATAAAATTTTTGATTGTATTTTTGAAATCAGAGACCAAAAATTAGCTGATGTACAAATTCTCAGGTAAATTTTTTGTACTGAAAGGGTTAAACCCAAAAAGCGATATTACTTACTTGACATTTGTTTCTCAATAAAATATCAGACAAAGTTTGGCCTTTTATTTTGCCATAAGATTATTTAAAATGTCCAAAATCATTGAACTAAGAACCGTGGCGGATTTGCAGTCTCGCCCATCCTAGGCCTTTTTTCCACTTATGCCGTGCTTAATTTCGTCAGGTAAGTAATAATATAAATGTATTATAAAGGTCCTAAGACATATCCATATCAATATCTGATGCTTTTCAGCTCTGTAACTCATTCATTCTGCTTCATTTCATGTAGTCTATATCTACTATTTTGATCAAGTTATTTTTTAAATAAATAATTGGTATTGCTATTGTAAATCCAGCAGGAACTACCGGCCCGGGTCCGTCGGGGTCCAATCGATCCGAATGGTAAGTAATGCTAGTTTTTTCCATGTTAAACAAAGGGTTGGGGGTTAAGTTTCTCTATATTGAGTGCATACGTATTTATTTGGGGTCGTGCGTGTCTTGCTACCACCAGCGAATTTTTTTTGCCGCCCCTAATATCCGGCCGCCCTAGGCCCGGAATTTTCTTTTAGCGCCGTTTTAATTAGAAACTTTAATAACTGAGGGTAAGGCTTATTTTGTGCTTACATCATCTATATATAAATACGCCACAAGAAAATTTTGCAATCCCTTTTTTGAAGGCACCGTCCGCCCGATTTCAATGAAACCTACACCGATTGAAATGATATAACTTCCTCTAATCCAGAGATGTTAAACCCGATACATAGGGGGCGTGGCATCTGGGGAACTGAAACTTAGCACAGATGCATAGATTGTAAATACCCTACTTACGGTGGAAAATGGTAGGTACTGGGAAAGTGCGCGTGGCACTTCCCATACAAACTGAAATTCTCTTATCGGTTATCTCTGGAACCAATTATTATAAGGTGATGGAATTTTATACACATATAAAATCGCAAGAATCATTTAATTGAGAACCATTTTCTCCCAGATTTTAAAATCGCATTGAATGATTGTTGTTTTGTGCAAAATTTTTAGAAAGCTCAGTGTCTCCCAGCTGTTTGTCTCCCGATAGGTGGCGTAGGGATTGAGAGCTTTGCTAAAAAATCATATTTATGATCAGATTTGTTTCACTTTTAGAACACATATTAGTAACATAAAATTTGGTATAACTTGGTAGCCCAATCGTGTGATGAAAAAATATTGGGCTCTGGCCCAGTCTTGATAAAAATATTATATTTTGTTGTAAACCTTCAAGATACTTTCTCAACCG